GTGCTGTGAGCCTTTGTTTAGCAGTCTCTAGGGCATCAGATGGAGTCAGGTCCTTGTATTTTTTTCACTAGCTGAGTCTTATCCTTAATCTCCACAGCCTTCTGTAGTTCTGCCAGCTGATTAATTGCTCTCTGAGTTGCCTTGATTTTAGCCTCCAACCTCAATGAGAAATCTCCCTTCTTGGCTCATAGAGGAAGTAGCAGGAAAGCCCTACTATTACCAGGACAGCTTCTCCCATATGAGCTTTTTTTGGTCCTGATGTCTTGTAATTGAAAGAGTATATTGGATTAAGATAGGACCTTACAACAAACTTTGAGCATGGTCAGTATGGATTTTCTTCTTTAGAAAACTTAGATATCTCTACCAAGAAAAATTATTTTGCAGTCTGTATGAAGCATGCAGATCAAGCATACCAACACATACTTCTGCCTTTTTTCTTTTGTTCTGTAAATTAACTAGCATTGGCTAGTGAGATGCAGAAGGAACAAATGGCACCAAAGCCCTTTCTCAACCACTAGGAATTCTCAACCACTACAGAGCTCAAAAATGGTAATTAATATTTGCATGAAGGGAGCTCTGTTTTTGCAGGACAAGAACATTCCTGTCATTTCCTAACCTGATCCCTTTGTAATCTGTCTTTGGTCTACATAGGTAGAATATATTTTTGATACAAATTTGATAGCAGTCATTTAGACTTTAATAGACGAAAAGAGGTACTTCAGATGCTGGTGAAGCATCTATTAATTGTCATCAGTTATCAAATAAAAGCAAGATAAATGTCCTTAGGATTCAGTCTAATAAAACACACAGAATGATGATGCAGTGACAAACTTAGACGTCATGGTATTCAAAATACACTTTCCAGAAATTTGTATCTCGTTTAGCCCTAAATATGCATGCCTAGGATATCAGATTTCATTTGAGTAATACAAACCAGAAGTTAGTACTAATAATTCTGAGTTGCCTTGAACATTTTGTAAAATATAAATGCAGGAAATAACAGTACCACAATCTTGCTCTGGAACATGTAAGTTAAGTTCCACGTTATAAGGCTTAGTATTCCATCTGGAGCTGAATGCCTATTTGATTCTCAGGCTTCTGCCTGCTTTCAAAGTCCCTGCAGTATAAAACTGGTCAACTTGGTCCTATTTTGAAAATGTTTTTTTTTTCATTATGAGCAACTCAAAGGTCAGCATACCAGTGAGCAGCTGTCATCAACTTTGGTCGTCTTCCATTGGACAGCGAATAAAAAAACCTCAAAGGGCATGCACTGACTCTCATCCCCAGCGGTTTTTTTCCCCTTGAGTAACAGTAAGTTACAAAAGACTAGGAAATTCACATAAGTAGGCAGCTAATCAAGATGTTTATCAACTAGAACACTTTCTGGACTGACCTGCGAATTGCCCTGATGTGCATAGATTTCTTCCCTCATTTCCTTCCCCCAAAGCAGCTCTGGGTTGTTGTTGTTGTTGTTCAGTCGTTAAGTCGTGTCCGACTCTTCGTGACCCCATGAACC